AGTAGATGAAAGGTCACCACTCTCCCCAACCAGATCTCCTTTAGATCAACGGTTGTAAAAATGCAACCCTTCGTTTCAAAGCACAAGCCACGAGGAAACCCTAATTCAGTGAAACCCTAATTTTTTTGACACGCTGATTCAAGCCCTTATACGTCATACCTCCTCCGGCTTGGGGAGCAAGTGTACTTACTGGATAAGACACTATTCAGTTATTTCTATATAAAAAAAATTTCAGGAAACCGAATACCCCTTCGGCCCCACCATGAAACGAAAGGTACTAACACCCCCTCGACATTACTTTTGGATGAAGGGTACTAACACCCCTTCGGCCTCGCCTCTAACAAGGGGTACCAACACTTCTTCGGCCTCACTTTCAGATGAAAGGGTACTAACACCTTTTCAACCTTACTTTGAACAAGGAATCCTAGCACCCTTCAGCCACATCAAAATAAATTAACGAGTTAATTAAGATAAATAATCGATAAAGAAAAGGTTAATTGTCTAAGTAATTAGAAGGCTAATACAGGGTTGACTCATCAAACTCATTAACCCAATATTATGCTTATAAAAAGAAAGTAAGAAAGAGAGGTAAAAGAGTTGACTTCAGAATATTTAATAGCATTTATTGTTTTATACAGAATATTTACTTGACTGTCTGAGTGCTATTGCAAGCACCTTCCTCCTTACGAATAAGAAGAATCTAAAATATTCTACAAAGACGTCACAATAATACGAGAAGACAGAAGTTACAGTGACTGAGTGTTCCTTTACAGGAACAACTATCATATTCTATCACTCTTCACTTTTGTTGTGACCATCTTTCTCTATAACTACTACTGGACATCCTTTACTATCACTTGGCACCATTCTTACTATTAACATCATTTTTATAAAAATATTATTATTATTATTATTATTATCAGTTATTTATTAACTAACTAAAATTATATATATATATAACACATGATATTTTTAAATTATGTAATTAATGGAAATGATAACACAAAAGGGTACATCAAAATATGAAAGGGTACTAACACCTTTTCAACCTTACTTTGAACAAGGAGTCCCGGCACCCTTCAGCCACATCAAACTAAATTAACAAGTTAATTAAGATAAATAATCGATAAAGAAAAGGTTAATTGTCTAAGTAATTAGAAGGCTAATACAGGGTTGACTCATCAAGCTCATTAACCCAATATTATGCTTATAAAAAGAAAGTAAGAAGGAGAAGTAAAAGAGTTGACTTCAGAATATTTAATAGCATTTATTGTTTTATACCGAATATTTACTTGACTGTCTAAGTGCTATTGCAGATACCTTCCTCCTTACGAATAAGAAGAATCTAGAATATTCTACAAAGACGTCACAATAATACGAGAAGACAGAAGTTATAGTGACTGAGTGTATCATTTACAGGAACAATTGTCATATTCTATCACTCTTCACTTTTGTTGTGACCCATCTTTCTCTATAACTACCATTGGACATCCTTGACTATCACTTGGCACCATCCTTACTATTAACATCATTTTTATAAAAATATTATTATTATTATTATTAGTTATTTATTAACTAACTAAAATTATATATATATATATATATATATATATATATATATATAACACATGATATTTTTAAATTATGTAATTAATGGAAATGATAACACAAAAAATTTATATAATAATAATAAAAGGTTAATTTTTCTAAAATATTAAAAAAATAAAAAATCAAATGTTAAATATTATATTTTATCAATTAGTTTTTATTTTAATATTTTAACAATTACTTTTAACACAATTATTAATGATTGAGGTATTTGGTAAAATTATTTGAAAATTGAGAGTTTGTACTTGATAAATTAGCAAGAAGTTTATGACTAAGTTGTAGTTTAAAAATTATAATTTATAAGTAATTAATTGAATTAAAATTATTTAATAAAATTATTTTCACAATTAGTTTAAATGTATTGAATGATTAGAAAGGACGTGACATTGAACGAGAGGCTGAATTAGAGTTAAAATTATGAGCGACTGAGCGTAAATTATTTAAAGAATTAAAAGTGAATATAAAACATATATATCAACAGTTAACTTCTAAAAGATAAAATTATTTAATAAAACTACTTGTATAACTAACTAAAGTGTGTTAAATGAAAAAAAAAAAAGAATTAATATATATATATATAAAGCTAGCTTTCAATAAATTTAATGTTATTTAAAATAAATTTTTATAAATTATCTTTGAAAAGTTATAAACTTTCTATTAAAAGTTTTAAGTTTTTTTATTTATCAAATATATTTATTAATTTATTGACTAAAAGAATAAGTTATAAAATCTTAAACAACTTATATATTTGTATTACTAAAGACACTCTTAACTTATAATTTAAAAGATTATTAAAAATTAGAACCTCATTTTAAATTTTATTCACCCAATAATACTATTAACATTTTTTAAGTGATTTAACACATTTAAGTATTGTACAACTAATTTTATTAAATAATTTTAATTTAATTAACTAATATAAGTTTTTAAATATAAAAATTACACTCTAAACTAATACCGGCACGCATGAATAAGCGTTGAAGAACGAAAGGAGTCATTGTCGGAAATCTAATAAAATTGTATCCAAATTCTCATTGCGAAGTTTGCGCAATGGGTTTGAAAGTTCAGTCACGTAACTCACGTTGGTCATGTTTTATTTTTTTGTTAAAAATAATTTTAGTTTTTAAAAATAAATTATAATATAAATTTGTACTATAATTTATTTTTAAAAATTATTTTTAAAAAATAAATCAAACATACTTTTAATTATAATTTTTTTTCTAACTTTAATTCTGTTATATTCCACTTTTTTAATCATTTTATATTATATTTTATGAACACTTCACTACCTTGATTTTTTACTTTCAAATTATATATTTCATACATAATATAAAAATTATTTTTCTTAGGAGTTGTCTATTTCATGTCTATATATGTATGACTAAAATTAAAAAATATTTATTCTATAAAAAAATGTTCATAAATTTTAAATATTTTATAATATGTAATACTTTTATCACCCCTAATTCTTAAGCATATAAAAATAATTTTTTTCTAAAATTTTTTGTTAATAGAGTTCTAACGACATGTATTATTTTAAGAGTGTTTGATGCAAGTGCATGTTATTGTAGCAGTTATGTTGGAAGCTTTTGTCTGTAAATAAATAATTAACTATCTATAATTTTATTTTAACCAATTTTTAGTTCTAATAAAAATATAACATTTATTATATTTTTCATGTAATAAATATCTTTAGATAAAAAATTATTACTTTTCTATTCCTATATTCATAAACGGCGGCTACTCGGGGCATGAACATCGTGGGTACCCATAATATATATCTCTATACATCGGTTGCTGTACAAAATAATATTATATCAAATAGTTTTAATTTAGTTTTTATAAATTATTTTTATTATATTCTAATAAAAAAATTATACAATTCATTAAAATAAATTTATCAAAAGTTTTATAATCAAAATTATAGTATAAATCTATAATAAAATAAAAATTTATTAATAACATACTCTAATTTAAGTCACGTGAAGTCATGTGAATATTAAATAACCTTTAATATTGTTCATTTATAAATAATTGAATTGCTAAAAACTACATTCTAGATATAATTATTAATAATATACAAATTTATGTAACTCACATGAATTGAGAGAAAACCACATTCTCAATATTTGATTTTTCATATAATGAACTTGTTTTGCTTTAAAAAACACTTACATAGAAATAGAAACTTATATTATACTCTTATAATCTTTTAATTTTAATAAAATCTAACATAGATGATTAATACAATATATAATTACAATTTAATGGTTGAATTGATAAAAAAAAAATACATTCAATATGAAGAAAAATTATATTATAATTATGTGAGTTATACTCATTTTTATATCTTCAATAACTTTATATAAAATATATATTTTTATGCAACAGTTAAATTGTAATTATATATTACATTGGTTATTTGTGTTAAATTTTGTTAAAATTAAATGACACTTTTTTTAATATATTTCAAAAAATATATATTGCGTACTTAAATAATTAGGTTGCGCAATGTTTTAATAGATCCAAAGCAAATTCTAATATAAGAACCAATGAACCATTAATAAAAAGATTTTTCTTTATTGAAATTATTATAATTTTATTTAAAACTTATCATCTAATTAAGTCTAACCATTTAATAAAATGATATAATCAAGTAACAATTTTTCAATCATTAATGAAATTAATCTATTTAGGCGGTGCTTAAAACAACTTATAAATTTTTTTATTTTTTTTTTTGCATCAAATAAAATTTGACTCATTTATAATTTATTAAAATAAAATTATGACTCCCTTAGTTTTTTTTAAGCTTATTTAATAATCTTTCTTATATAACTTATTAAATATATTTTATTTACCAAAAAAATTATTTTAGTTTATTTAAATTAGTTTTATGATTATTACACTGCCATGAGGCTTTATACATTAAGAGCTTATTAAATAAGTATAAATTTAAGTTTATTTAATTATTTAATTATTAATTAAATACACCTTTAGTTTGTTCTTTTTTTGTTTTACATACTGTCGATCTTTAACATAGTCACCTAATTAATAATTGGAAGATAACTAGGTTATACTATATATATGGTCTCCATTCCATTACTTATAAATGAAGCATTACCGAAGTCAACACACTCTCATAAACAGACAGAGGAAAAAAGAAAAATCTTGTGTAAGCTGCAACATGGAAATTTCCATTACATTATAATAATATTCATACCAATCATCGACCCCCGTCAAATTGCCAGCGTGACCTACGTTTGTATACGTGCATGACTCGCAAGGCACTACACATTTGACACTTTTGTCACTGCCAGTCACCGCATCCAACACTCACTATAAATACACTCTTAGTTCCCCTGATTAACGCACCCAAATTCTCATCATCAGAAATGGACTCATCAAGTTCCACACTCTTGCTTCTTGTGCTCACACTAGTCACAATTATGCTTCTTAAAACCATGCTTGGAAAAAAGCATAAGAACAAGCGCAAAGCAAACTCAAACTCAAAGCTTCCACCAGGACCAACTCCTCTTCCAATAATAGGCAACCTGCTAGAGCTAGGAAACAACCCCCACCACTCCCTCGCCCAACTCTCCAACATACACGGCCCAATAATGACCCTTAAATTGGGCCGAGTAACCACCGTAGTAGTATCCTCCGCTGACGTGGCAAGAGAAGTGCTCCAAACGCACGATCACGTTCTCTCTAACAGAACTGTCCCTGACGCCTTAACAGTCCTCAACCACGACCAGTACAGCCTGTCGTTTATGCGCGTGTCGCCGCGGTGGCGCGACCTCAGAAAAATCTGCAACAACCAACTGTTCGCTAACAAAACGCTGGAAGCGAGCCAGCCGCTGAGGCGGAAGAAGCTGCAGGACCTCCTAATCGACATCGGAAAGTGCAGTGAAGTTGGCGAAGCGGTGGACATCGGAAGAGCGGCTTTTAAGACTACAATTAACTTGTTGTCAAACACTTTTTTCTCTGTAGATTTTGTAGGGTCCGCGGAAGAGGCTGGGGAGTATAAGGAGATCGTTGTGAGTATTTTGAAGGAGGTTGGGGCACCCAACTTGTCTGATTTTTTCCCTTCTCTGAGGGTCTTTGACCTTCAAGGGATTCGGAGGCGTTCCGTTGTTGAGGTTAAGAAGGTTTTGAGTATCTTTCGGAGGTTCGTTGGGGAGAGGGTTATAACCAGGGAAAGAGAGGGTGCCGTTGGGAATGACGATGTTCTTGATGCTTTGCTTAATATCTCTCTCGATAATGGCAAGATAGAGATGGATAAAGACGAGATTGAACACTTGCTTCTGGTATTCTTTCTTCTTCTTCTTCCCCCCCCTCTCTCTTTATTATAAAAAATTGTTATTTTAACACCCAAAATAAATTTCTACACTAGATATCGGTTATTTTTTATGTAAAATTATTTTTTTACATTATCTTTTACTGTATTTGTATTATTTCAACTGTTTTACACACAGAATAATTTAATAAAAAAAAATTTAACACTAAAAATTATTGATTGAGTATCTAATATTTACTATACATATGAATACATTAATTTAATGTTAGCTCTTAATTTAATTGTTTGATTGATAAAGTTTAATGTGTAAAAAATTATTAGAAAAATAATTTATTCAACACTTATCCTAAAACAAGTAATATCCATCTCGTATATATATTACAGTTTGGTTGTTATTACCTTAGTTGAATGTTCACCTAGTTAAGCTTTTTATATTGAATATTTTATCAAACCGATTCAACCTACCCAGTTTAAAGGTCAGTTCGCATTAGGTCATATCGGTTCAACTGGTGTATATCTAGTTTAGAAACTTATCCAAACTAATAGCCTGTACCTTTCCCAATCAAATAAGACAATACTAGTTTGAGTTGAATAATTATGATTGATACAATTAAGTATAAATATCTCTCCATCTCTTTCAATCACTTTAAGTTTGATTCCTGTATTTAGCATGCATTTACATATGCTTAAGATAAATGGGCATGCATGCAATAGAAAAAAATCTATTTTTCTAATTTCCCATTTGATTATTTTGGTGCAATAGAACATATTTGTGGCGGGAACGGACACAACAACATATACACTAGAATGGGCAATGGCAGAGTTAATTCAGAATTCAAAGATAATGTCAAAAGTGGAGAAGGAGCTTGAGCAAGTAATTGGGAAAGGAAAACCTGTGGAAGAAACAGATGTTGCTAGGCTTCCTTACTTACAAGCAGTCATAAAAGAGACCTTCCGTTTGCATCCACCAGTTCCATTGTTGCTTCCTAGAAAGGCTGAGATAGATGTAGAAATTGGTGGCTACATCATCCCAAAAGATGCACAAGTTTTGGTCAATGCATGGGCTATTGGTAGGGATCCAACTAAATGGGAAAACCCATATGTGTTTCTTCCAGAGAGATTTTTGGACTCTGAAACTGACATTAAAGGGCACCACTTTGAGCTCATACCATTTGGATCTGGAAGAAGAATTTGCCCTGGCTTGCCATTGGCTATTAGAATGTTGCCTTTGATGTTGGGATCATTGGTCAATTGCTTTAATTGGAAACTTCAAGATGGCATAAAGCTTGATGACTTGGACAAGGAAGATGAATATGGAATTACCTTGGAAAAATCTCAACCAGTTCGAATTGTTCCAATCAAACTAAGCAACCCTAGCAATTAGCATGCATAATATATATATATATATATATAACGTGTTTGCTTTGAAAGGCTTATGATAGCGACTTATAACTACTTTTCAAATTATTTTAAAAAATTTTATAGTTAAATTTCTTATATAAATTATCATTTTAAAAATATTAAATAAGCTGTGTATCTGAATATTTTGAGTTTTTAATTTAGCATACATGTTTTTGTAACGGGAAATGAGTCTTCTCCTATTTTATTATGTTGTAATCTTTCTCAGGACTCGAATCCTCTCCCGTAACTGAACATGAAAATTGTAAAATTTTACTTGAATAGAAGACTGTCCAGTGCTAAAACAGGAGAGAATCCTATTCCTTCACGTCGTGTGTTTTGTTACTGTAATCTGTAAGCATTTTGAGGTCATGTTTTGAAAATGAAGTATTATTATCTTCACAAGCTATAATATTTCGTTTAATTATTTAAATAATGTTTTTTAAAAAAGTAATTATCAAAATAAATTAAAAACTAAATAAAATTAATTTTATAAATTCTAGTTATTTTTATATTTCTACAAATTTATCAAAATTATTTTATTTTAATTTTTAATCTAATTATTACTATAAAAAAATTTATAATCAATAAAGTAAATTTAGTTATAAAACTTTAATTTTTAATCTAACTTTTACTATTTGTAATTAATATAAAAAATAAATTTATTAAGAAAATTGAAAAACCTAAATGATAGATTTTCTAGCAAAAGTGACAATTTCTGACGACAGACAATTTCCAATGACTATGGCAAATTGTTTGGATGATGACGTCTTTCCGGCAATGAGTTCCTCTTGTCCGTTAATGTGACGATTAAGCAGGTTTCCAGTTCTCCCAACGTTCACTTATTGCAAACCAAGCCGATCTAGACACTTTTGTATAATAAATCATGAAGCTTACTAAAAAATCACTCTAAAATATTAAAAAAAAAAAAATCCCTGCGAAGGTTACTGAATAGCAATAATGGCGAAACCAGTCTCAAATGACGGAGGGGGAGAAGGGAAGAGGGAAATGCAATTACCATTGCCTCCATTGACACGTGGCTCAATCAACGTGTTTTGTTTTTGAGTCAAATAAAAAGATAATTTTATCTAACTCAGCGACAAAACATGTTGATTGGGCCACGTGCGAGAGGCAAAAAAATTTAATTTAATTTTTTTTTCTTTTTCTCTCTTTTCTATATAAAACCGTGTACACGTGTTGAGTTTTGCAAATTTTTTATCCCTGATTTAGATGAATTGAATAAATAAAAAATAAAAAATTAATTTTATTAGGTTAAATACGAAATACATGCTTGCGTGACAAAAATTTATCTCAAACAAAAAATTAGTTTAATTTTTAATTTATATTAGTAATTAGTTTTAAAAAACATTATTTATATCATTAAGCCATAATATTTCAGATAAGCGACAGCGATAATAATCTTAAAGATAAAAAACAATAGGAAAGAGAATTCTAAGTTTGTTTGGTAATATTATCGTTTCTAATATTTCTAGAAGATCGATGTTTCATGATTTTAATAAAAGTTTATGGTCTTGCAACATCATAGAACGGGAGTTTTATTAGGTGTTATTAGATATAGCTGTTAATTTTAAGTTTTTGAATTTTAAATAATTGAAAATGAAGCATGGATGTGGTACCGTTGTACCATTGACTGGGTCTCTGTTGCACTGATTATCGTCACGTGAGTGTTCTGACACCATTCACAGTCCGTATGACTACCCCATTTGAAGGTGGGTGGCCCACCCCACTTAGAACATTTATGTTTGATTGGGTTTTCACAATGAAAATTTTTCTTTTCACCTTGAAAAAGATAGTCAAGATTTTAATGAATATTTTAAAAATAATTATTTAGAAAAATTGAAAATTAATAATTAATAATTTTTTTTGAAAAATTTTTAATAATAAAAATTTTTTAAATTAAAAATACAATAAAATAATTTAAATAAAAAATAATTTAAATTAAATATTAAATTATATTTATATTATATACTTCGTAATCAGACTTAACACGAGAGAATTTGTTTTATAATTACTTTAATAATATATAATTAAAAATAAAATATCTTAAATAAAAAAAAATTAATCTTCTATATAATAATATACTAAACCTAATCCACCTTTGTACACATGACACAAGGATGTTTTTTAAGAATTTTTAAAAGATAATAAATTCTACAATATCCTTAAGTTTTAATTTTTTTAATAATAAATAATTAATTAGTTTAATTACATTAATTCCTCTCACTACTAATTGATAAGAAATTAAAAAATTTTATAATAAAAATTTCTCTTTTTACCTTGAATAAAATGTGGTCAATGTTTCAATAAATATTTTAAAAATAACAGTCTAGAGAAATTATAGAGTAATAATTAATTTTTTTAAAAAACTTTCTAATAATAAAAAAATATTTGAATTAGAAATACAATAAAATTATTTAAATAAAAAATTAATTAAAAACTAAATAAAATAATTTATTGAAACACTGTCCATCGGATAATAAGAATTTCCTAACGTTAATATAATGAAATTAATTTATCAATAATATTAATTTTTTAGACCAACTTACAGTAATAATTTCCTAACATTAATATTATTAATTTTTTTTATAATTATATGTGATTATATCTAGATTTAAAAATAAAAAAGTCCTAAAATTCTAATATGTGATAGGAAAAATAGTGTTTCAAACACAACTGTAAATATTGTTTATAAAAAAAATTTGAATAAATTTTTGTAATATTTAATTAGTTGATACAAATTAATGAATGTAATTACAAAATATTTTTTAATAAATTTTCTTCTCATTAATAGTTATTATTTTTTCATCAAAATTGTGTGCATCGTATAGATGAAATACTAGTTGTATATTAAATTAGAATTATACTATTTAACAAATGAAAAAAAAAAAAGAATTAGAAAGATAAGAGTTCAGAAGATTTAAGCATAACCCATGCTTCAAATCTTACTTCGGCAAACAATTTTATCTATTTTAACTTTATATTAAATGATACGTTGAATATGAGTTTTTGTTATTATAGTGTTTTTACTTTTTTAAAATATTTATTTATTTTAAATTAAAATTATTATACTTTAATAATTATTATTTTTTATTTCATACCTCCTAAAAATAAAGTAAGATTCGATAACAATAATGGCAATCTCCTTCAAGAATGGTGTCTCTTATCATAGATTAATTGATAAATTACAATATCTTAAGATAACAATACCTGATAACATGTTATACGAAGATTAAGCTAAATTATGAGTTCAAGTGATCTTCATTTGTAAGTTATCCATCAAATTTTAAGATACATCAAGTTATATTACACTACTTGATAAAGTGAATATTAAAATAAAAAAATTACTTTTATTATAGTAAAAATATAAAATATTTTGAATAATTTTTTCATTTAATAATTAAAATAAAGAATATAAAAATTTAGAAATATTATTCCCCTTTGTGAGGGAGGTCAACAGGTAGTAATAATAATTAATATTAGACGAGTATCCACGCGTTGAATAAGGTATTATATTTCTTTCACGACTTTCAAATCAATCAAATAAGTAGGGGTTTGAAAATTTCCATCCCTGCCTACATACAAACTCATCGAATTAAAATCGTTGAAGAAAATAAATAGTCTGTTTTAAAACATTTATTAATAAAATAAATTGATGGTAAAACAAATTAAAAAACTAATAAAATATATTAACATTATAAAATTTATTCCAATATCAACTAAACATAAATTATTATTTTTTAAAATTAATAATATAAAAAATTTTACACTAATATTATATCAAAAGTAAACTCTATTAAAATATATATTTCATATATTTTGAAAGGGAAAGTTAACGTTGAAAATGATTTTTTGGATGAAAGTAAAAAATTGAATCTTAAAAAATATCAATTTTAATTAAAAATAAAAAATACTTAAATTTTTTTTAAAAGAAAAACAAATAAATTTTAGTGGTCTATTTTGAACTTTAATTCTTTAATTTATATTTATTTTATTTTCATTTAATGCTTTAATTTTTCTTTCTTTTTTTTTTATCTTAAAACAACAATCAAGTAAATCTTTTTTAAAACATAATATGCTTAATTTGACGTTAAAATATATTTAAATTTATATTTATTTTCATAATATTAATCGTAAGTTTTGGGTTAAATATATGTTTACAAACTTTTTAATGTGTTTTCATATGTGTAATTTTATCGCCTTCAAATATTTCAGGAAGACCTCTTGTAAAAGATGTTGTCTAAGTTAAATAAAAATAAAACATAAAATAAAATATTAAGAACACGTATAAAAAAATTGTATTAAATTATATTTTAAAAATAAAAATATCTTTTACAAACAGAAATTGTGTTTTAAATATTTTTATCCTTTTTTATATAAATTTTTTGAAATTAAAAAAATATGAAAATTTTAACAAAATTATAGAAATATAATTATTTTTCAAAAAATCACTGTGAGCGACTTTTGATCATGTTTTACAAAAACACATTTTGTACTTTTTAAATATTTTATTATTTTAAAAATTATTATTGACGATTTTGAAATTTAATCATTTTTTGATTATTTATTTCTAAATTTTTGTACTTACCCTTTAAAATCGCTATTTTTAAACTCTATATCGTCATAATTTTTTTAAAAAAATATCATTTTGATATATATAATTTCTAAATATCATATATAAAAAATAATCCAATATTTCCTAATTAAAATTTTTTGTCACACATCACATTACGCCGTACTTTATTGCAAAATTTTTACTTTAAAAAAAGGTTTAATTGGCTGGGAAGAAAGAAACATCGTAACGAGGTGGTCCCTGGCGCTCGGAGTGGCCCCACTCACCCACATCATTCCGTATCTTCCCAGTTCCCACCGTCCAAACCCATCCACGTTTTCTTACTTCCCAATACAAAACCACACTCTGGACGGAAAATTCCAAAACTTTGTTAGTTCCCAACACAAGCATAGCCCTCTTCTCTTCTCCTTCGTTTCCTCCATCTCACGTTACGTTCTTCTGCTCTTCCTCTTCCGTAGGTTACTGTTTCACACAGAAACGCATAGCTCCTTTTCTTTCTTTCTCTTCATTTCCTAATCTTTTGTTCAGAATTCTCATTTCCCTCTTTAAAATTTGCCCCCTTTGACCAAAGGGGAAACACAACAATTTTCCATTCCTTCCTTCGATTCTCCGTCGGATCCTCACAATGACGATTCTGTTTCGGCTTTTCTTAGTCTTTTGGCTGTTCTCATTTTCCTTCTCTGACGAGAATCCCAATCATATGAACCACAATCGTCATCGCCTGTTTCCGCGGCCTCTGATTGTAGAATATCCTGAGGAATTCGAAGAGGAAGTGAGGTTGAGATGCTGCGCGTGGAGAGTAGCCGGTGAAGCGAACAATCTGAGCCCGTGGAGGACGGTTCCCGAGGAATGCGCGGAGTATGTGAAGGAGTACATGACAGGGAAAGGTTATTTAGTTGATCTTGAAATGGTTTCCCAGGAGGCTGAGGATTATGCTAAGAGTGTACAGTTGAATGGTGATGGCAAGGATGTGTGGATTTTCGACATTGATGAGACTCTACTCTCTAATCTCCCTTATTATGCTCAACATGGATACGGGTAATATACAAGGAAAAAAAATAACTTTTTTTTTTAAAAAAATTCGCAAGATGTTATGATTATGTGTTTTGGTTGGAATTATAATTATAATAATAATTGGGGTTTAAATAATTTCATAGTTTGTTGTATGGTTTTATTATAATGTGCTTGTGGTTCATCGCATCACAATTTTGGGGGTTTATTTTTGTATTAAGGGTTATCATAGTTATGCGCTTCACATCACTTTAGATGTCGGAAGTCCTATAATTAGATTATAAATTGCAAAGATAGCTTTTTGACCGCAATTTATTTATAATTTGTCTGAAAATTGAAAATAATGTAATTTGGAGAGAATGACTTTACCTATGAAGTGTTATAAATTCTTGTTGAGAAGTCAAGAGTGATTGAGGAGACAAAATATTGTTTTGTAACTGCAATCCTATTGGAGTGAGGAATTTTATGCTTCGCGAGTTTTAACATCAAATACGTGCTTAATCATCCCTAGCTCTGTTTGGATATTGAAATAACTTGAATTCGAGTGTTTTACACCAAAATAGCTTTTAAGCCAAAAGTTCTGTAGTGATCATTTGGAGGGGTTAATCAGTTATTGATATTTCCCTTTCACCCTACCATGAACGTTTGTTTGCATGTGGTTGCAGGTTTGAGGCTTTTGACCATGAGAAGTTTGACGATTGGGTGGAGAAGGGTGTAGCCCCAGCCATAGGACCCAGTTTAAAGCTCTATGAAGATGTTTTGAATCTTGGATTCAAGGTAATTCTTCTGACTGGACGGAGTGAAAGGCACAGGAGTGTTACTGTTGATAATTTGATCAATGCTGGATTTAAGGATTGGCATCAGCTCATATTAAGGTAATTCCTAAAAAATATTTGAATATTTTAGGGATGAATTGCCTTTAATTCAAGTTTGTTTAATTGTTTGCAATGTGAATAAACAAAGTATAGGCAAAATGAAGCAGGGTGGTACAAAACTACGTATACAATTATTAGGACTGATAATAATTTAAAGGAATTCATTTCCATGAAGGGCATAGCTCTAGGTTAGGTCAAATTCAAATATAGGGAGGAACTTTATGTAACAATTTCTATCTAACTTTCAGTAGAAGATTATATAAATATTTCAAGCATTCTGGTTAAAGGTTAACTGAATTTAGTTGAATGAAATGATTTATGCAAATTAACCAAGGCTATAGTATATCTAGTCTTGACTCAAGTATGCTAGGATAATTGTATGAGGGTGAGCCTTGATGCAACAGTTAGGTTGCCTCCTTGTAAACTGGAGGTTACTGGTTTAAATCTTAGAAATAGGCAAATAGCCTTTCTGCTTATGGAGGTAAGACTACATACATCTACTCTCCCAGAACACAATTGATGGGAGTCCCATGTACACTAGATTGCCTTTCTATGCTAGGATAATTGGATGTGCTTAGAGGTGGAAACTGAGGACAATGCTGTTCAGCAAGTTGCAAAGTTTAAAGATGTTTGATCTACCATACAAAATGATGGAGAAATAAAGGGAGATGTAAATCATGGCATTGAGCATAAAAATATTGTCTTACAAAATGATTTATGCATGTTAGCAACCTAAAACTGCAATTCTGCAGCTTTTACCAAAGAGGAATTTAGATGACCATGTGTATACTTGGTAATGTCACAGAGGATTTCCCTATGACCATAGGCTAACACCAAGGGTTAACACTGAGCCCTTATCTATCTGCCTTGGTTTTAGATATACTTACAAACAGTATCTTGGAGCTATTGATTGATACATGGTTATTTTCACATGATGTAGCCCTAGTTGGAGAATCAAGGAATGGGAATAAATAGTTAAACTAGAGTTGTTTAGAGAAGTTTTGGTTAACACAGTTTTTGTTTTAATAGGAGATAAGAGTCTATAGATTGTAACAGTTCAGCAAGATGCACACTAACAATTGTTTGGAGGTGAAAATTGGGTATTGTATCATACCATTGGTGACACTGTTGGATCTATCATATGAAGTAACTGGAGATAGAGAGATGTAACTCTGTATTCAAGCAGGATAGATGGATTAGGGGAATGCCTCGAGTGTTATTTATGATTAAAAGGTGCCACACTCAAGCTTAAATGAAATTTACTACAAAGCTATAAGATGAGCAATGCTTTGTGGTACTGAATGTTGTCAATAAATAGCCAACAGCATATAAGAAGTGTTAAAGAGATAAGAGTGTTCCATTGGATGAGTGTATGTACAAGAATAGATTATAACATAATAAATGTATTAGAGTCTAGAGAGAAAGTGGGAGAAGCAGTGTGAGGAATAGGTGGTAAATTGTTCCTAAGATGGTTTAATCGTATAAGAAGACTAATAAAAGCCCTAGTAAGAAGCTTTGATCAGACGGAGAATAGCTTATTAATTAGAGATAGAGGCATTATTGTTAGACATAGACAGTTTATAGGGTGCATTAGGCAATGTACTTGATGGTTGTTTATTTATTACCAATGTACTAACTACATTATAGTCCGCTTGTATTCTGAAGTCTCATTCATCGTACACTAGTTAATTTATAGCTCCTTAGTTTGTGGCTGTTTTTTGTTTGAAGAATGTAGAATCTCTTCTGTCATCATCATATTTAGTCATTAATTTTGACTTGTTCAGTTACAAACTTATTCTACCCTCATTGTCTTAATCTTCCTATAACTGTAACCTTGATGCTCTGCATATGCAAGTAAAGGCTTATCCTTAGAGAAGTTATCTTTGCACATGTGATCACATGCTTGTATTTCGTTCTCTGAAACTATGCTATCTTTTATGCTGAATTTTCTGAATATGTTATATTACAATGTTCAGAGCCTCAGATGATCAAGGGAAACTAGCTTTACTATACAAATCAGAGAAGAGGAGTGAGATGGAGAAAGATGGATACAGGATTCTTGGGAATTCTGGTGACCAGTGGAGTGATTTATTAGGATCTTCGGTATCCTTTCGGTCCTTCAAGCTTCCAAACCCCATGTATTACATTCCTTAGTAAGGTCTCATTCATTTGCAAATAATCGGTCTGAATTGTAAATAATGAAAGTGGCTCCATTCATATACTGAAAAAATATCACTGCAAATAATTCATATACTGAATATTGTTGAAATTCCAGTACACTTATACATGTATGATTGAATTATACACCCCGATCAATCTAGCGCTAGTTTTTCTCTTCTTTGATAACACAATTTGATCGATTTGATTTAAAATATAAATCTGACCAAATTAATATAATCTAGTTTAGTTTGAATTCGATAATTTTATGTTTTATTTTACATAGAAATCAGGTATCTACTAATGTAAATATTCTTTGCACTTAATTTATTTCAATATTTAAACGGGACATCATTTTCTTTTCCTAAACCTTCATTGAAAAAAAGCACATTTAATTTCAATAAATGCAATTATAAATTGATTTATCAAAATGTAATACTAGAAGTTCAAACAAATTTATTAAACTACCAAATTCCAATTTCAAATATATTTTGACTCTAATTTTTCAGCCAATAATTTGTACAAATAAAAAAGTGAATTAACTTTGGCTCTATTTATAGTAGCACATAAAGAGAGTTGTTATCAAATGTCAAACTTTTATATTAACATAACTTAATGACTTTTTATAGAACATAGAAAACCATCAAATTTTTATTAGATGGTTTTATTTTAAAACTAACTATTGATTATTAATTTTCTTATTTTTTTATATTGTAAGTAATACTTGATCTTATATTGTATTATATATAATTGTAAGTAATTATATTGTAAGTATTGATATTGTAAGTAATTTATATAATTATATTCATATTAAGATTTGTTATATAAGATTAAGTATTACTTACAATGTAAGATTATAAATGTACTTACAATATAAATTATTTACAATACAATACTTAAAAAGAACATATAATTTATATTGTAAGTAATACTTAATCTTATATTGTTAAATAATTTTTATTAGATGATTTTATTTTAAAACTAACTATTGATTAAAAGTTCTTATCACATATTATTTTTGTAAAATTATATATTAATCTAAAATTATTTCTTATCTCATTCTTGTACATTAAGATTAATGTTATTGAAACTAATAATTGGTATAATATATAATTATAATTTAATAATTTGATATATATAAAAATATCCCACATGTATTTTAATATTTATAATTTAATAACTTCTGTCAATTTCTCCAAAAGTTGAAGTGCATTTTATCTCTCTAATTTTTCTCTTAAAAGTGTTTATATAAATTATACACTAAGAATTGCAAGTTTGGTTCCAATGACTAATTACCGAACAAAAAAATATGCATTACAATTTGATTTTGCATGTTCCACCACACTTCCACTAGCCTAAGGGACTGACCTCACTATCGATTTGTATTGGCACAAAATAATAATGAACAGTTTATATTCAAAGTCCAAAGCCTTAAAAGACTCTCAGTCTTCTCTTTTTGTAACTCCAACTTTATTTTCTTCTCTCTTCTCTTCTTTTTTTTCATCTTTACTTAAAGAGCATTTGTCACTATCCCAAACCATCTTTAATAAAGATTGTCTTTCAGCTGTTTCGCCATACCAATCTCTATCTCTTTCTCATGGGATGAATTCGTTTTTATCTGTTTTACAATACACATTCTAGCAAATTTAGCAGTGCCTTTTATAAGATATTTATGAAATACTTATCATCATTATTATTATTATTTTTTAATAAATAAAGTTTGTGAGAATATAAATTAAAATCTTCAAAGATAAATTAAAATCTTCAACATTCTCAGTCTAACATTCTGCGTTCTTGTCTTTTGAGCATTGAGTTATATATAAATATATATAAAAGTTGGTCCCCAATTGAACTTGCCCTCTGAATTGGGAAAACGTTTCTCTATTTGGTGCTTTCAGTGGAGTCATTATCAACTATTGAAGACGAAGCATCTTTTGAGATTTAGGTAGCTACTAATCTTGACTATCTTCTGTGCTTTCTTTCCTTACGCCTTCTTTTTTGGACTTCTATCCTCGTTTTTCTGTTAGAAAAGTTTACTAGATCTTAGGTGATCATATTTCTATACATATTCTATAACACATTTACAAATATGTAAATGCAAGAATGTGATAAAAAAAGGTTTATTTTCCCAAAGTGTAATAATCATTCTTAAATGTCGAAGCTTTCATTATTTTCCCAAACTAATGAATCAAATTCAACTTTCGTAATTTTTAATCAAGTCAAATTCAAGCTTTAAATTTACTTTGTTTAAATAAATGGGTCAAATTTAAATATTTTTTATAAATTAAATTTATGATTAATTTACTCAATTCAATTGGTTTACCCGAGAATTTTACAAAATTGAAAGGGATCGAAGGGGCATTGCTTCATAATTAACACTCTCTCTAGCCTGATGACAACATTTATATGTACTCTCAGTATACGAGTACATATTATTATAAGCCAAAATAAATTTAGTTTTTATAACGTGTGTTGAATGATAAATAAAAATATTTTTTTTATTAAAAATAACAATATCTATTATCTCAAAATAAAAAACACACATAATGCATATTTTATATAACAATTTAAAATATTTAATAAATTTTATTTAATATTTTTGATATATATATATATATAGACACACACGTTAAAAAGAATCAAAGTAAATTAAAAAAAATTGCCGGTCGAATTTAGTGTGGCCTCGCAGGGTTTCACATGCATTTTGATTGTGTCATAGGGGACCATCATATTCTTTTATGAAGCAGCAAGCGGATACAATAGAATTTGGTGCTTACCTTTATAAATTAATAATTGTAATTTTTTAATATTTTTGAAATTAAAAATATTTATATATTTTTAAAGAAAATATTAATTTTTATTATTTATTAAATATATTTAATATAAAATTAATAGTAATAATTATTCTATATGGCAGAGGATATAAAATATTCTCTTAATTTAAAAAATACGTAAAAATTACCTTAAAAATAATGCCTTTGAAGTTAGCAAAATGAATTTTAGAATTTAAATTTTTAATTTTTAACCCATGCCCTAACCCTTCTGGTTAATATAATCGTTAGGTTAATCAAGTAAATACAAATTTTAAATGCTAAAAGGTAGATATTTGAACCTACAAAATAATTGTTTTTTAATATAATATACATACATATTTTATTATAATAAAAATATCTTTCCTATCCAAACACTTCAAATAGACTTTATTAAAAATAACTATATTAATTAATGTATAAATCATAAGATAAATATTTATACTAAAAGATATGAAGACTTTTTGTATAAGCATATCAAGAAAGGAAATATCTACATGACCTGCAAATAACAATTTATTTAAAATTTTATTAACATCTACATTACATAATAAAATATTTGTATTTTTAGAAACTATATTTCATTATATATATATTATCATTATATATATTCATTATAATACTCCAACATCTCATATATTTAAACTTGATCATATTATTTTTAATTCATATTTTTTCAATTATTGCATGCTAAATTTTATTATTTTATAAAAATTTATAAATATCTATATTATAATTTTTATAAATAATAAGAATATTTGAAGTCGCATAAAGTTCATTTGTTGTACGGGCATAATTACTAGTCAAGGCATAAAGTAGATTCTAATAATGAAACTATTTTAAATTAACTAAGGCAATTACTTAAAATTATTATAGTTTTTTTTTTTATAAAAGTACTTATTAAAGTATCACAGTTTTTAATATTTGTTTCGATCAATAATAAAGTCAACTCAATGGATCTTTCTAGATATTGCCAAATTTAAACAAAATTATTAATTTTAGTTTTTAAAAAAATTCACTAAAGTATTGATTGTTGGAATTGCTAACATTATTGTATTAGTATGTGCATTTAAAAAGAACTTATGTAATTGAGTAAATGTCAATTATTTTATTATTACTTTTACATGCATAATTAATTTCTTTTGAAACTTAAATTCTAAGAGTAATTGAATATACGTATTTAAATCATATTACAAATTTATAAGAAATAGTAAAACCATTTTCTTTTGGAAAGGCAAGTGGATAGGTACTAATTTTGCCTTATGTAGTAGATTTATTAGAATGTATAGCATAGTTGTGAACAAAGATATAATGAGAACTGGAATTAGAACTGGTTTTGTGTCCTTTTTTTTGTCATGATTGGCTAGGAGTTGAGAACCCTTCAACTCTAAAAGACTAGGAAGGAAGAAAATATACAGTTTCATTGCAATTAATTAGCTCTTTGCCACAATAAAATCCAAAGTTGTATCATCACCACTGATTTTGCAATTGGTATGATAACATATTGATTGTACCAGTGCATGTTGAGAGGTAATTTCCCAAAAGCAATTATATGAGTGCTCAAGATAATTAAGTAAAATAGTATAAGGTTTGAAAGTACTTGTTATATTGGTTGACATAGTAGGTATGCCCAAAGTAAATACAAGAAGTAATTTGGGTAGGTTCAAATTCAAAAACATGAAACTGAAACAATCTGATCTCTTCATGGTCTAGCATAATCAAATTGAGGTTAGTTTAGGGGACTCTTGGTTGTGTGTAGAAATTCTACCAAAAATGTATAAAATTTAGTAAAGACACATCAAGGGAAAGATATATTGTGCCTAGAGGGTACAAGTCTCATTTGATTAACAAGAGAAAATGAGGTGATGATTATGAGGGTGGCTCTACTTAAATACCTGATTGGATATGATGTAACTAGGAAGTTGAAAGAGTAATTTATTTGTTACAGACTCAAATTAAAGGTTCATGACCCAACCCAAATTAAATACATCTCCATATTTGAAGCTTACCATTATACTCTTTAAAAAGAATTCAGTTTCTTAAAATATACATCTCATTTTCAAAGTTATGCTTTTACTTTCCCTTCAATCTTCTTCTTCCATTAATTCTAGTCTTCAACTTTCAGTGAATCAATATGTTGATCAAATCTAAGAGCCCAAAAATTATTGACTTCTTGAATGGTAATGACTAGGGAGGGGGGGAAGCAAAGGGTGGCACATTATATTTTAAAATATCTTTATAATAGTTTATATTTTAGTAATAAAAAAAAGTTTTCCCCCTAAATTAAAAGTTCAGAATCCATTGTTATGATGATTATTTAACTATTGGTCCTTTTACTAGTTTTAGTTTATTCACATATAGCTTCATAAATTTGAATTACTCAATTTTTTTAATTATTATCAATTTCTTTCATTTGTTATTCTTCATCTACAACCTTTTTATTATCATTTCTTCTTTTTCATAAACTAAACTCATTAATTTCATATTTTGTTTTGTCTATTTCAGAGAACATTTTTTTTAAATGATTTTGAAAAAAAAAAAATATTCTCCAAAAGAATTGTTACCAAACATGGGCTAAAACATTTAAACCCTCTTTCACTTTATGTTCACAAATCGAAACATCATATTTTATGTAATTTTTTTTTTAGAAAAAACCCTCGTCAATCTTCAAAATCTTGCATCATATAAAATCTTTTAAATTTATCATTTTTGTACCTTCAAACCTTATGTATAATTTTGCATATCAAATTCATACTTAAACCTCTAACTATTCGAGTAAAACTAAAGGATTTTATGGTTCTATATAAAGAAAAATTATGAAAGACTTGATTGTAATGATTAAAAGAAACGAGTAATTAAATTCGATTATCATATTGTATACTAATTGAAATATCATATTGTACCTTAAACTAAAAATTTCCTAATTTTCTTCTCTTTGAAACCTTATATTTTGTAATATTTTTCAAATTTCATGTTGAATTTTTTTAAATCATTTTGTTACAAATTCATCTCAAACTTTTAATTTCTGAAAAGAATATTATGTAAACTGAGCACGGCAATAAAAAAAATGAAGGACATTCTACTATCATTACATAATAAATGGGCAAACGTGCAAATCAATAATCATATTCATCATATGTATATATATGTAAAGACATGTTATTTTTGTTTATAAAATAAATACATCATTAAATATTTAATGCTCAGATGTAAATATTTATACTAAGTATTTTAAAAACAAAGGATCAAATATATTTTTAATGACTATAAAATTATCAAAATTTAATTTTAATTTTCATTAAATTATATTCATTTTTACACACTATATTTAACAAAAACAACATATTTTAAGTCTTTTGTTAGGAATTAAGGTCATAATATAATCATTATACAAGGACTTTTGATTTAAAAATAATTTTTTTTTCCACCATTCAGTTTAATCTGAATTTGATTCGTAATGCGTATTTAGATATAAAATGTGAGTCTATAAAAAAAAATTTATATACATAAATATTCAAATTCGAGACTTTACTTAAATAATATTAAACCGCTTGAATAAATTTTTTTATAAAAAAATATCTATTTCATAAAATAAACACATTTTCTGCATAACAATACGATCCCTTCCATAATCCATACATCCCTTTTTCTGATAGAAAATCCTAATGATAAACGTTGAGTAGGTGATTATAAATTCCTTGTTCCATTCCATCCCATAGTTCAATAACACGAATCCAGCAATTATCTTATGTTTTGCATCTTCCTCAATATTCCAAATCACCACTCACATTCTCTCTTACACAGACACATAATATATAATAATAAAAGCAGCACACTTTTTAATTTCTCTCTCTCAAAGATTTGTTCTTTTACACCATCTAATTTATCATATTAGTGCAGACAATTTATGGCTTTTTTTAATCCTTTTGGCAGAGGTAGTTAATGGAGATCGACCCTTTAGCTCTTACAATTTTTGCTCATATTGCTGATCCACCCTTTAACCGTTCGGGAGAAAATCTGTAAGAATTATGAATACAAGTAAATATTTTATTTCATTAATATTAATTTCAAGCAACTATATGATACATGATTTTCTTTTAAAAAATATTTATTATATTTTTAAAATTATTTAAAGTTAGTCTTAAAAGTTATTATGAGCAATGTTATTTAAGAATGATGCAGTGTGAATTCTACCAATATTTATAGTTTTTAAAATGGGAGTGTGGCAAATGAGTACTTTCACAATTGACACATAGCATCTAGCAGAGACAGGAGAGTCAAATTGAGATAGAAGAATCACATGCCATAGATCTGTCTCACATTGCATTCACATTCGGTCATTCCATCCAGCGTGTATGTTCCAACAGTTTCCACCCAGAAACAAGGCCTTCATTGCCAAGTTCTCTGCCATCTCTTTCCTCACTCCTATGTCCATTTCTGCTTCAATAATTGAATACTTTAGCCACCACATGTAATTTCCCACCACCTTATTTGGGTTCCACATACCACAAAGTTCCCTTAAGCATGTTTCTCCTTGTCCTATATATCCACATGGGAATATTATTTTCCATGAAAAATTAGGCCTTTTTCCATCAAGATGAGCTCTTTTCAATAGCTCTCATGATACCCAGATCTTAATTTCCATTTTCTTATATACCAATTATCTTGACACTTTTATCTGTGATTTGAGTCCACTTGCTGGCACTTGGTTACAAAGAGATCAGGTTTCTGAGTGAAAGAAAGAATCAACACCCCCCATGTTGACATTAGTTCTTGGACTAGCTTCAGCCACTCTGTTAGTGATTGTTTCAGTCTATGTGTTCTTTTACAAGAGCAGAATATCAAAACATGAGGTTAAAGACATTGAAAGTTCAGAACAAAAGGAGGAGGAAGAGGTGGCTCAGAAGGAGGACTTGATCATCTTTCAAGGTGGAGAGGACCTTACAATATGTGACATATTAGATGCTCCAGGGGAAGTGATTGGGAAATCCAACTATGGCACACTGTATAAGGCTTTGTTGCAAAGGAGCAACAAGGTGAGGTTGCTGAGGTTTCTGAGACCAGTGTGCACCACAAGGGGCGAAGAATTGGATGAAATGATTCAGTTTCTTGGAAGGATAAGGCATCCTAATTTGGTTCCTCTTCTGGGTTTCTACACTGGGCCAAGGGGTGAGAAGCTTCTTGTTCATCCTTTCTATCGGCATGGGAATCTGACTCAGTTCATAAGAGGTAAATGAAGAGTTCTTTTGCCTTTTTGTCCTTTGAATTCTGTTAGTGTTATTTGGTTTCCAAGGAAATTTGTGGGTCTTCATGTGAAAGTTCATTTGATGTTGTGTCCTGATTTTATCAAGATAATGAATTCGAGGGCATGGACAAAGCTTGATCTATATCATGAATTTGGAAATTATTCACTTTATCTGTGTTACTGTTTGGTGTTTTCTTAGATGGAGAATGTTGAATTGCGGGGATTTGGGAATTAATGAGGAAACATTGCTGAAGAAACATCGAGTTTGTGTTAACTATAAATCTTAGTAGTTACTTCAATAGACAAGTAAATGCTTCAATAGACAAGTAAATGATATTTGCACACCAAAAATGTTACATCTTTTTTTCTCACAGTAGAGAGAATGCTGTGTTGGAATATGCGTTATTTGTTTATTATTTTTAAAGGAAGCAGTGTAAGAATTATGTTTTTTTATGTGCAAATATTATTTTGGTTGCAATGCTTACTATTTGTTTGAAGTGAACTTTAACAAAATAAACTTTTCTTTTCTGGTGACAGAAAGCTAAATACCATTTCATTTTTTAAAATTTTATTTATATTTTCCAGGCTGACATTAATACTACTCAGTTTTAATTACCTTATGTTTTAGTCATTTGGTGGCATTGGTATTCATTCATTCATCTGTTGATGTATTTTTAAATAGACTAGGAAACATCTTCACAAGGAAGGGCAAGTGATCAAATAGCTAAGCAGAAGATTTCAAACCAAGCTATTTGAATCATTAGTCCTGCTCCTCACACCTTAGAGAATAGAATTGATTTTGAATTTTTGTTTTGTTTATTGATCAAAGATGTTCACTTAGCAGATGGAAATGGAGAGTGTTACAAATGGTCTAACATATGTAAAATATCCATTGGTATAGCCAAAGGATTAGAGCATCTTCACACATCACATCAGAAGCCTATTATCCATGGAAACCTCAAATCTAAAAACATCCTTTTGGACCGCTCGTGCCAACCGAGCATCTCAGATTCTGGTCTACATCTTCTGTTGAATCCTACTGCTGGCCAAGAAATGCTTGAAAGTTCAGCTGCACAGGGTTACAAGGCACCTGAGCTTATCAAAATGAAGGATGCTAGTGAAGAAGGTGACATATATAGCCTTGGTGTGATCTTGCTGGAATTGCTTTCAGGGAAGGAACCTATCAATGAACATCCTACTCCTGATGAGGATTTCTATTTGCCAAATTTCATGAGAAATGCTGTACTTGGACACAGAATTGCTGATTTGTACCATCCAGCCATTCTTCTTAGAAACAGCAGAGATGATAAGATTCCAGTTACAGAAGAATGTATTCTCAAATTTTTCCAACTTGCTATGGCTTGTTGCTCCCCTTCACCCTCAGTTAGACCTAACATAAAGCAAGTCCTTAAGAAGCTTGAAGAAATCTTATTCTAGAATCCATGAGGGCTTTTGTGAATTTTTTTTGTGTAGTATTGATCACTTTGGCAGCAGTGATACTGCACACTTCAATTCTTCAAGTTCATCATTAACAGTGATGTGGTTGAAGACAATATAACATTTATATATGAGAAAGTATAAAAAGAAAAGTAAGTGTTATGCTTACAAAATGCGGAATTGGCTACCAAACAAACACTTTAGGACAGTTGATGTTAAGGGTTAAAGTCAAATGAGGAATTATAGCTTGAAACTAAAGCTACCTATTTCTAGACTCCAAATTAGTGAAATCACTGACTTCATTTTTGAGATTTTTGAACTTATGTTTGGTAAAACAATTGAACATGTGACATGGACAATGTCAAATGAATTTCTTTGATGTCACTCATCCTGTTACTAGTTGCAGAGGGTTTTGGTGCGAGATTACAAAGATTCTTTTACTATCAGAAATGTGTTGCTGACTTGCTGCCCAAGAATTTGTATCTAGCCTTTGAGTTTTGCAGTTGTGGAAATACTACAGAATCTGGGATGAAATATGCTCTTTATGAGAAGTGACCCTATCAAATTCCATGATATGGCCTTAGAATTGAAGCTGCAAAAGTGCAAAGGAATCTGAATAATTATGTAGGCCAGGAAGTGGGATCATTTGGTGGCAGATTTCAAAATCTCACCTAGAACAAGTTACATTGTTTATTATGGGTAGGTCTCACACCAATTCCATTTCAGCATGTCCTTTATTTACTTAAGATGATTTTGCAGTGCTTTATCTTGGGACCATACTTTTCCTTTTGATGAATCTTCATTTGATAAAATATTAGTTTTCAGTTATGAACCTTACAGTCTAAGTAACTAATTATTATTTCCTTGATTCAGAGGATTCTGATATTGTACGTTTATCAAATAGAGAATTAGATTATCAACTACCATTGCAATTTTTAATTTTTCATTGATAACTTCTAGCTGGTGGGAGGTGGTGGTTGGCAGGTAGGTGAGGGAGGGTCTGCTAATTCATTGCTGACACATCACTATCTAGTGTTAATACATACATTTTAAGAAAATAATCAGTTTTAGCAATTATTATAATAAAATAAATTGATTTTATTTAAACATCCTTATTAAAAATGTTAAAATTATTGCAGTAATTAGTTGATAAAAAGTTGTTTTCAGAGTAATGATAGAATTACTATAATAGTTAGTTGACAAAAATTATTTTTAATAAAAAAAAATGATATTATAGAAGAAAAAATTTAATACTCTTTTAATATTTTAAATAATAAATAATTTAAGATAAAAAAAAATTCAAATAGCATTACAAGACAGGAGGAATAATTAAAGGGTGTTTAGATTTCTAATATCTTTTAACACCACAATATCAGTTATAAAATTGAAACTTTAGTCAAATCAAAATGTGCTTTTGCAAATGTGATTGTCACCTTGACTAAGGACCAATCAACCGTAATTTCTCCATACTCATTGGGAACATGTGGGGAAACAAGATGCAACACTGTGGTTCCCACATTTTCCCCTTTGTGTATAGTAGTAGCTCTGTGCCATGACCTTCTCTACATCAGCATGGGTTGCAACATAGTCTCTATTTAATGTCATTTGATTTGACTTTCTATATTTACGAATAGATATTGAAGATAAATACTACATGTTGCTAAAAGTTGCTTGATTAAATTTGACATCCACATGAAGTAGTGTTTGCATGTATAGAGACGTGCAATACTCACACATTACTGTTTTTTTATTTATTTATTTGTTCATTACTAAATATATTTTTAATAATTTCAAATATCATGATCTTTTTATTTACTTTCTCACTTTAAGCAATAATTATAATCCAATCCTCTTAGATTATAATAGATAGACAAAAATTACATTTAACATAAAATAAAAGGAAGACTAATTAAAAATGAAAAATAATTTATTTTTACAAAGAACATTATATTACCATTTTTGAGAAACAAAGAACAAAATAAAAAGATTATAATATTTAAAGTGACCAAAATCTTATTTAATGTCTTTTTCGTCTCGGGGAATGAGATTGACTTTGCTTAACTACCATTGAATGTTTCTGGCACACCCGATGTTAACTTAGAACAAAATGCTGATAGCACACTCTTAAATAATTTATTATTAGATGAACTTCATATATATTAAAAATACATTGTTAATAAGTTTCTTTTCACAATTAATACTTGTGACTGTAGAATGTACACTCTACCCCGGTAACCTTTCCTTAATTTCTTCCTTGCCATTCTTCCCAAACACTTTGGAATTCAAATGTGAACTTAAGATAATGCTAAGAAAAGAGTCAAAATATGATAATGATTTTGTTGAGATTCTAAAAAAAAAAGGTGTTTTTTTCTTTATCTTCTAGTTTCAGGTGGTTGAATTACTGTTCACTGTTCTTTATCTGTTGAACACAGTATGCTAGAGTGTTGCTTAAGTTTTATTTTACCCCATTTTTATGGTTTGAAAGCAAAGAAAAAGTCATTAGAAAACAAAATAGAAGTACGTCTTTACATGATTAACATAATTGCATGTTGGTAATTCATTAGGGGTCTTAAAGATAGTAGAAAGCCATGCATGTTGCTTGACTCTTCATTAATTGATGAATAGTATATTTTAGATGTCCTTAGGGGTGACAATGAATAGGGTATAGATAGGATACAAACTATAGTATTCATCTTTATACCCGCATTTTAAAAAAATATTCGTAACTAGCCTCATACTCGCGTGGGTATGAACATTAATCCTGTACCCTTTAGGTAGCCGCATACCCATCTTGTATCCATTACCCGCTTGTTTGAGAAAAAAATATTCATAAAAAAAATATGTTTATATAACTTCACATAAATAGCGTAATAATATAAAAATTCAATATATAGTTGCTGAATAAGTACAAATATAGATAAAAAAAATAAATATTCAAATATCACAAGTGCTAAATGTATCTTAATACAATAATTTTCTAAACTAAAATTCTTAAAAACATACAGCGATGACCCTATCTTGTGTGAGATTGGATCGATCAGTAACGTCAGAGCGACAATAAAATAGATTTGCATAATGGGTGACCTTTCATGTGGAATTACTTGGTGACCTCTAATGGCGACATTGACAATTAACTTTAATGAATAACGTTTCATAATTGTTATGTTTTAATGAAACAGAAAATAGAGTTAGGACAGAGAAGTTTAAGTATTAACAATTAAAAGTGGATTCATAAAATATTTTTTTAAACTTTTGAATTTAAAATTATAAGAAAAATAATATATTTAATTAAAATAATACAATAATATATATATAAATATATATTAATACTAGTATTTTTAACTCATGTACTATACGAAAGTATTTTGTCAAAAATATAAATTTTTAAAAATTTATTTTAATGAATTAAATATTTATAATGTATATAAATTTAAAAAAAGAATTTGAATAAAAGATAAATAGTCACAATAAAATTTTATAATAAAGAAATATATGTGTATATAAAAAAATTATATTTTTTATCTGAAGAAAAAATTAACAAATAAGAATTAAAAATAATTTTTTATATTTTATATCTTTTCAAAAATCTTTTTTAACGTAAATAAATAAATAGTAAGAATAATGTTATTTAGATTTAATAGATTATAGTCATACTTGTAATGCACACATTGTATAGAAAAATATTATTTTAAATTAAAATATAAAAAATAAAATTTAAATATTATCAATAAATAATAAATTTACAGTAATAGTATGTTATTGTAAAATTTATAAAATATTTATAATATGTTTATTATTTATCATTCACTTAATGATTTAAATATCAATATAATTTTATTAACAAAAATATTTGTGTTAAAAATATTTTATATGTGTGTCATATATAAATAATATTTAAAAAAAAAAGTCAATCTCATATCAACTATGTAATAATTAAATTTTATTAGCCTAATTAAACAATATAAAATAGTAAATAAATTTTTCTATTAAAAATATAAACTAAAATAAATTTTTTGGTTTACTTTATTATTAAATATATTTTTATATTAATCGTATATAACTTCATATAAGTAGTATAATAATACAAAAATTTAATACATAATTATAAATCAAAGTTAAAGCATATATATATATATATATGCGGGTATGGGACGGAGTAGATACCCATACTCACACCCATCTCCATTAAAATTTGCGAGTTTTTACTCACACCCATACCCATACCCATACCCATGTAGCGGATAAATACCCTACATAAGTAAATTTGACGAGTGTCCACCAATACTTTACCCATTATCATCCCTAGATGTACTAATCTAACAGATGATATTATAATTGCAATATAAGGCTAATGCTAAGTTTTCAATCATAATAATCGTTAGTTATCATTCTTTTTCTAAAAATAAAGAAAATTGAACTGGAAATAAATTAATGATTTGTTTATTGAAATGACATGCCACCTAATCTAACCAACCAACCAACTCTTTCCAATTACAAATAATTGGGAAGACGAAATGCCTCAAGCTACTGTAGACCCATAAGCATTAAAATAAATTATTTTCATATAGACCCCAAAATATAACTACATTTTCTACGAGAGGGAGGAGATGTTAGCATTAATTTAAAAAATTAATATAGTTTCATTAAGTTTTTAAATATAATTCCGCATAATTTCTAATATTTTATTTATTTATTAATTTTCTTAACTAATACCTACATGGCACTAGTTAGTAAAATTAAAAATAAAAATTAATCCCTACTGTAACAAATAAAATTTTCTATTAAATTTGATTTATTTAAAATTTTTCTTTTAGCTGAAACTAAGAGTTACACAAACATAAAGAAAAATAAAAAAATTAAAGATATTTCAATAAAAAATTTATTAAAATATACACACTATGTCAATAAATTAAAGATTTTTTTATTAATAATAATTATTGTCTTTTATAATAATTAATTTAAAAGTCATATACGCTGTGTAATTTAATTAATTGATAGTGTAAAATTTTCTATATTCATAATACATTAAAATTTTAAAATAATTAATAAAAATGAGTGTAAGGAAGAGAAGTTTTAGTGGAATGCATAGGGGACAATTCATTTCTTTAAGAATTTATTTTTTGATAAGCAAAACATATATTATTAGAGAGTTCAAGGGGAACTCAAAACCCATATATAAAGATAAAAAATCTAATACTTACTCCGAAAAATAAAAAGTAAAAACATATTTATATAAAGTTAAGACAAATACAATTTCGTAGGTTCAAATACCAATTAGCTAGCAAAGTAGCTTCTCCATTACTAACTAGTTATACTCATTTCCTGGATCTCAGAATAATAGAATCTAAGACTTTCTTCTCATCCAAAATACTATTAGAAAATACAATTCTATTTCTATGTAACCACAAAGATCACACTGTACTTACTCAAACAATTAAACATATCCCTTCTCTTTGACTATAACCAACACCAACCAAAGAAAGCAAGTGAGTCAATAAATCTAAGGCAAAACCAGTGAGAATCCAAGCCAACGTGCAGTAAAGTACAAGATTTGAGATGAAACTGAATACGTTAAAAATAAATGAGTTAAAACTTCCTCCAAACCATAATAGAAGTAACAAGTTATATAATCAATTTGAACACTACGATCAATCAGCAAATCTTTATAAAGAAGTGAATTCAACAACAATTGCCAAGTAAATACTAGACACTTAAGAGGGACCTTCCCTCTCTATAGCCTTTGTAAGGCGTCTGTTGTACACTGATATACACTATTAAGACCACCAAACATTTCAAATAGCCATGAATAACAACCTAAAGAATCTGTCCTTCATACCCATTTATCTTCTTGTAGTACCTTAACAGAAACTCCATCCACAAGTTCCAACAAAAGATTAAAGCTTGAGGTCTCATGTTG